CTTTAACATGGCGTCCCACGTGTATCCGGGCAGAGTATAGTAATACGCGGGGTCGAGTCCGTAACTTTTTATGCAGCTATCGCGAAAATTTTCGAAAATATCTGCTAATAACAATACGTCGATTTTGAGATACATGTCGCTGTATTCGCCCAGCGTTCGAATGGAGAATCGCGTCCAGATGTTCTCGGCGTGCGCGTAATCGCTCTCGGATATAGTTTCACCGGTCAAGGAACTGTAAAACGATTCGCGCGGTGGTAAACGCGTATCTCGCAACCTATCTACCGAGTCGACGTATTCGTATGGAAAGACACCTTTCCGTGTTAATAAACTGAAATTTTCCGCGGATAAATTTTCAAATTTCGATTTTAAAATTTTGAGCTTATCTCTGTCTAGATAAGATGCTAATTTGACGAGACTCGATGTAAGAAATTTGTACGAATCGATGAAGCCGTAATTTTACATTATTTTTCCAATCGCCTTCCTTAAAGTCGACATTTTTTGTAAAAGAAATATATTTCTCTTTCGTTATCGGGAGTAACTCGACTCTCCCTTCGAATGCTGTGGCTATTTCCTCGATAATAAAATGCGAATCGTAACCGGATAAATTGTGGAAAACTATCGGAATACAAAAAGATTCTTTGTAATTTAAATTGCAATTTGAATGCGCGGGGCCTCTGTACCGCCCGGTCAAATGACAATGATCGCGAACGCGTGTATCGTCTTGCGCGAACGGCTTTTCGCATATATGACATTGAGTGGCGTTGTAAAATTTTTCACACTCTTCGGACGTTAAATTAACCATGGGGACATTGGTCGTTAAAATATTCTTAACGCGAATCGCTAAATTTTTAAGATCTTCGATGAACCACGCTATACAATCGACGCTACGACGCGAATGATACGCCGATAAAGATTCATCGTACGAACAATGCATATAATACGCTATACTAAATACTTGGTGATGTTGATACAATTTTTGTTGTTCTTCCTCCGTTTTAGCCAGAACGCATTCCAGGTCGGCGTACACGACGAATGGAAGCCGCTCTTTCCTGTTGTAATTGTTGAACTCGAGCCACTTGTCCTTGTCGCTCGGCAACCGGATAGCGCAGTCATTCATCTCCCCGCAGTCGATGGCATGTAACTGCAACTTGTCATCTGAACTAAAATAATGCAGGCATCTGTAAAAGAAAAATTTTTTAATTAAAATTAGAACAATTTTTATATAAATTATTTGATATAATTATTAATATATACATACCGGTCGCAGATATATCTTTGACCGTTGTGTTTGCTCAGTTGCGAGCTCACGAGCCGAGATAAATTTTTTATTCACGCGAAATGTCCGACGCTATTGCCGTCTTCCATGTATAGCAGATTCACGTGCTTATCTCGCTTCTGCTCCGAAAGATGTATCGAGATGATACTGTTCTTGTCTTCGATGCCGTACACGTTGATCGAGATATTGTTTGCGAGTTCAAATTTTTTAATTTGATTTAAAGTTACTGGAAACTCAATATCTAGGAGATTCAGCACTGTTGCGTAATGCGGGTACGATGATTCTCGTTCCACCTTTCTTTCTGCGGGATATAGAGCGGCGACCACTGCCCACGCGAAACACGCATTGTCTTTAGACTGTACGTTAACCACCGCTCTTTTCATCATAATCTCCCGCGACAATTTAATGTGGCATCCCGCGCGCATTGGATTATATTTATTTACATTAACAGTCAAATTCTGTATTCGCGACAATGCCCAGCCGCTATCGCGTTCCTGAAACTCTTCCAGAGACGTTAAAGTGGGCTCGATAACGCGGCGCTCGAACCACTCGCGTAAATCCGATGTGCGAAAGAGTTCACAGTTTCTCGTATTTATACTTTTATTCGCGCGCTTATCACCCGACACAAATTCACCGTTGAATATAGTATTTACTTTTACACTGTTGTGTCTTTTTAGAACGTCTTGCACTTGCTCGAGCACGATGTCTTCGGCATCCTCGAGAAATTGACGAGGTTCGATATAGTTTGCGTTAATCACGGCACCGGTCAGAATACGGCTGTCGAACGCCGTATCGATCTCTCGCCAAACGAGTCTTTCCGCGTTATTGTCACCGCTGTAATCACCACCACTGGGAATAAACCGTCTTTGCAATCGAGTCTTCGCACTTTCTAGTCGCGCGATTTTAGTCACCAGAGATTGTCTATTTCCGCTCGAGAGCCGCGGACGCTTGACACGACTGCGTTCTTCGAGCTCTTTGATCAATTCCTCGCAACGCTGCAGCCACGCGAAATACTCGCCCAAGGTGGCAATTCGGCGAGATCCCTCCACCAGATCGCGTTCGGTCGGCTCGATGTTTTCCATTTTCCTATCTTTTTCGCACTCACACTTTTAAAACACTATGTCACAGTTTTCTACGGATGACTTTTGCACGCGATAAACAATACCGTTCGCTATCTTGAACGTGAAATAGGCGCAAAAAGCTTTCTAACGGAACACCGCTATACTTTTTTTTTTACTGCCGACGCGTCGATGGGCATTCAAATCACATACTATGATGATTTGATGCGCTTCAATCCTTCTTATATGAAGGAGAAAACAAAGCAGCCAAATATCGGCGCTGATACGTTAAAAATTCTTCCGATAAAAAAAATTGTAAAAGATGATTCTAGGAGATGCCGTTTGTTTATATTGTTTATAAATTTACATGCTGTGTAATTCAATGAGAGAGATAAGGATACGTCGAACGAAAAAAATCTAGAATTACTTATATCGGGGATGAGGGGTGTACCGCGAAAGCGCTGATATACGAGCGGTGGAAACAAGGGTACAAAGCAGCCAAACATCGGCGTTGATACGTTAAAAATTCTTCCGAGAAAAAATCGTGAAAGACGATTCTGAGGTACTATTTGTTTATATTATTTATCAACCGGGCATGCGACACAATATTGTTTATACTTTCGATAAATATATGGGACCGCGCGTACTTTTTACGAGGCGTTTACGACGATATGGCGATAATGTCACATCTCTATTATACGATCTCGTTTCGAGATCTCGCTGCCTTGTCAGAAAGAGTTTGGCAGTGCGCGAGTCGAGAAATCAAAAGTGAAGAAATCGAAAGTGAAGAAGTGAATATTTTTTTTCATCGTTCTTGTGTATTTTATAAAATGGCCGAAGAAAATATCATTATCATTAATGATGACGATGATGATGTTATGATCATCGATGATGACGATGTGATGATCATCGAAAATAATAATAATGTGAGGATCATTGAAAATGATGATGATGTAATGAATATTGATGAAGATCACGAAGATGACGAAGATGACGCCGATTTCGAAGTAGAACCCTTTGCGGACAGCGATTACGAGAGTATCAATAGTGATGACAGTGATGAACTATTACAAATAAAAGAACGAAATTTAGATTTACCGAGAATATTGACGATGAACGATACAATAAAAATATGTTGCATATCGTTCTATTATGTGGAATGTGGACTGAAATATTGTGCGGAATGCTTCCTGGAACTATCGTTTTGATTTCTGGAAGCTAGTGCTGTACGGGAACATCGCTGCATATATTATCAACATTTAAGCAATATGTCTTGCAAAGAGTGCAGAAGATCTTTGAATCAAATACTGCCGTGCGACATGTGCCCCATGTGCATACATTAAAACATTGTAAGTACTATTTTTTAAATCTTAACTCTCTCTAACTACGCTTGTATTAATTCAATATCTTTTTTCTGTTACAGGAGCAACCATCCCCCAGATCCGGCGACCCCCCCTCCCCCTTCCCCCAAATATATTATATTTTTTTTATATTTTTATATTTTAAAATTTTATTAGAATTTTAATTTTAAATACACACACACACACACACACACACAAATGTATAATACACACATTTTATTAAATTTTATATTTTTTTAATTGGAAAAAAAATATGATTATTTACAGACCTCTTCTTGCGTTCCCACCACTGCGCTAGTTATAAGTATCATTCTCTCTCATGCGTTAATCTTAAGTCTCTCTCTCGCACGCGTTGTTCTCGCACCATCACCCCCTCTCTCAAGCGTCGTCTTTCAAGCGTTGCCTTTCAAGCATTGTCTTTCAAAAGAAAGCTGCTGTTTTTTTTATAGTGCAATTATTTGTAGACTCAATTCTTTTGTTTTTACGATGCGTTTTGGAGATGGCTGCATATGGTGTCTCTGCTACGATTTCGGACCGAGATCTCGTCATATAGTTCAGAACTGTGAACGTGAGTTCATCGCTCCACGTTATATACCATAAAACGGTGAAAGAGTTTTTGATAAAACGGTGAAAGAGTTTTTTATAAAATGTATCAACATCTTACGTGGTTTAAATTGTGGAAGAATAGCTTTATTAAGTTATTCTTTAGTGTAATTTTAAAAATTACATTTGATTGACGTTTGGAGGTAAGTAGCGTTTGCATGTACGTGTGATTTTTTAAATTAGATTATTAAAATAATTATTTATTATTTATTATTTAGTTTCAGAGAGAAGTTGAACTTCCAGGATTCATAAATATATATCATAGACAGTGGGTGCGGATGATACGTCGAGCTCGACGGGAGGACATTTTAGATATATGGGGCGACACTCCGGACAGTCGCCATCGTCAGGTCGAAGATGTCTTCGATCTGCGGCGGCTCTTCGGGGAAGAGCCCTATCTGAAAATCATCCACGAAGAAGAGTGGATCCTAGGTGGAAACGTGTGGATGCCACAGGACGATTTGATGGCTCTAGCAGGTTAATGTAAGTACTATTTTTATATTAAATAAATTATTAAATGTTTTATTAAAAACTAATAAAATGTATATCTTTTTTTTTGTTGCAGGTGCGGCCTCTCTCAGCTCGGCGCATTCCCCTCCCCATATATTTTGTATTATTTCTTATTTCATATTTTTTATATTTTTTATTTTCTTTTTATCATTACTTTTTATTCTTAAATTTAAGTATACATACGAGGTCCGGCTATTAAATAACGAGACTGCTTATGAAAAAGAGTTTTATTTTAAAAATTATTCTACAATCGAATGCTCCCCTTCAATGTACTCCCCTTCCCTCGCCACACACCGTTCCATTCGTTTTTTCCATTGGTCAAAGCAATGCTGGAAGTCTTCTTTTGTAAGAGCATTTAGGAGCTCCGCCGATTTTCGCTTCACCTCTTCTATCGACTCGAACCGAGTTCCTTTTAAGGCAGACTTGATCTTCGGAAACAGGAAAAAATCACAGGGTGCTAAATCAGGCGAGTACGGCGCGTGTTCGAGCACTGGAGTGCCTTTAGCGGCTAAATAACGCTTCACAGACAGCGCGTTATGGGCAGGTGCGTTGTCCTGGTGCAAGATCCACGACTTGTTTTTCCACAACTCCGGCCGTTTCTTACGAACTCGCTCTCGCAGCGTTGCCAAAACTTTCAAATAGTAAGTTTGGTTTACAGTTTGACCCTCTGGAACCCATTCAGTCATCACGATGCCGTTGATGTCGAAAAAAACGATTAGCATGGCTTTAAATTTTGATTTCGACATCCTTGCTTTTTTCATTCTTGGCGATGCAGGAGTTTTCCAGTGCATGGATTGCCGCTTAGTTTCAACATCGTATTGGAATATCCAGGTTTCATCGCAAGTGATGATGTTTTTCATCAATTCAGGCTCTTCATCTAACCTCTCAAGAAAATCTGAGCAGATCTGTTGACGGACGAGCTTTTGGTCAGGGGTCAAATTTTTTGGGACCAACTTCGTACAGACTTTCTTCATGTTCAATTCGTCATGTAAAATTTTTCTGACAGTTTCTTTATCGGCATTTACAGTCTCAGCAATCATCCGAATGCTCATACGACGATCTCCGCGCACAATTTCATTTATTTTGGTTACTGTTTGCGGAGTTGAAACAGAGACTGGTCGACCTGGACGTTGGTCATCTTCGGTGCTCTCTCGGCCTTCAGAAAACCGTTTATACCATTCGAAAACACGCGCACGAGATAGAGAATTCTCACCATAGGCCTCTTTCAACAACTTATAGCACTCAGTCGGAGTTTTGTTTAATTTAACGAGAAATTTCACATTGATCCGTTGCTCGTGTTTTTCGTCACACATTGTTATCGGCACGAAAAAAAAACACGTTTGTTTCTAACCTCTACAGAAAAAATACTACTATAGCGACAAAAACGTGCTTTCGTACTAAAAATAGTAGACACTTCCAGCTATCCAACGCTGCATTCGTTTCCCACCTTACCCCTCTAAGACGCCTTCTGTGCGCGCAGTCTCGTTATTTAATAGCCAGACCTCGTACACACACACACACACACACACACACATAAAAATGTATAAACACACATACATTTTTAATAAATTTTATACATTCATTTAAAAAAAAATATTTATTTACATTATCTCCCTCGCACGCGTTCCCTCTCTCTCGCGCCATCGTTCCTTCTCCCTCGCACGCGTTCTTCTCGCGCCATCGCTCCCTCTCCCTCGCACGCGTTCTTCTCAACCTTTCGAATCTCTATTCAGCCTACTGTCCTATCCCAAATCACCCTGCCCTCTTGACTTAGTTTTTTTTTTGCGTTACTTTTGTTAGTTCTTCGTCCGGTTGATGGAAAAATGGATTTATGTTTCCTTTCCTTTTTTTTCTTTTTCTTTTTTTTCTTTCTTTCTTTTTTTGTTTTTTTGTTTTAAGTCTCTCTCTCTCTCTCTCGCACGCGTTCTCATCTGGAAATCATCCATGACGAAGAGTGGATCCTAGGTGGAAACGTGTGGATGCTACAGGACGATTTGATGGCTCTAGCAGGTTAATGTAAGTACTATTTTTATATTAAATAAATTATTAAATGTTTTATTAAAAACTAATAAAATGTATATCTTTTTTTTTTGTTGCAGGTGCGGCCTCTCTCAACTCGGCGCATTCCCCTCCCCATATATTTTGTATTATTTCTTATTTCATATTTTTTATATTTTTTATTTTCTTTTTATCATTACTTTTTATTCTTAAATTTAAGTATACATACACACACACACACATAAAAATGTATAAACACACACATACACATTTTTAATAAATTTTATACATTCATTTTAAAAAAATATTTATTTACATTATCTTCCTCGCACGCGTTCTCTCTCTCTCGCGCCATCGTTCCCTCTCCCTCGCACGCGTTCTCCTCGCGCCATCGCTCCCTCTCCCTCGCACGCGTTCTTCTCAACCTTTCGAATCTCTATTCAGCCTACTGTCCTATCCCAAATCACCCTGCCCTCTTGACTTAGTTTTTTTTTGCGTTACTTTTGTTAGTTCTTCGTCCGGTTGATGGAAAAATGGATTTATGTTTCCTTTCCTTTTTTTTCTTTTTCTTTTTTTTCTTTCTTTCTTTCCTTTTTTTTTTGTTTTAAGTCTTTCTCCCTCTCGCACGCGTTCTCCTCGCGCCATCGCTCCCTCTCCCTCGCACTCGTTCTTCTCGCACGCGATGCATTTCAAAGAAATGCAGATGTTTATATTATTTATCAACCAGGCATGCGACACAATATTTCATATACTTTCGATAAATATATGGAACCGCGCGTACTTTTTACGAGGCGTTTACGACGATATGGCGATAATGTCACATCTCTATTATACGATCATAATCTCAATTCGAAAATGCTAATGTTTATATTATTTATAAACCGAACATGTCCGTACGCAATACTGTTTATCAGCTGGGCATGTAATATAATATTACCATAAAACATCTAACACGCGCCGCCGCCGAAATCCCTCCGTCCCGCGTGACGTCATTCCCCCGCGCCTCCGTAATCCCCTGCGCGCCTCACCCCCCCTGAGAGGACCTGGGTTAGAACTCTCCTATATATCCTACTTTCATTCAATTAAATATTCGCGATAACTAACGAAATACTTTGTAAGAATAAGTTAATATTATATAAAATAAAAAAATATATATTAATACAAAGAAAATATTTACTTGATTCAATTTTACATTTAACTAATTTGAAAATATATGTTGTTTCTTAAAGTCAATACATTGTTGAAACAAGATATTATATGTATAAAGTAAACAAATCATATTTTCCTTTAATTTCATATTCGTGATGTTCAATACAATAATTATTTTATATTACATTAAATTATGGTTGGATTAAAAAAATTTTTTTTTAAATAAAATTAATATTTATTTTGTGTAATTATGCATATAATTATTATAAAATAGCTACTGTTTGATTAAATAAACAAAATTATACATTTAAGTTTATATATATTTAAACATAATTCAATTCTGTTAGGTCAACTAGATATTTCTCTTGATACAAAATAATTATTTTATCTACTGAGACATAATATTTTTTCAGATTAATAAATATTTGCTTGACAGCCCGTGACCGCCGCATATAGTTGAATCAAACAATTTTTTTTTGACTGAACATTTTTTTTTTCTCAGTGTGGCTATAACTTGCTTTATTTTAGAGATTTTAAACAAAAAGCCTGTGGTCCTCGAGAAATTGACCAAAGGTAAACATAAAACACTGTGAAATTAATACTGCACGTACGCTTGTTTGACAGGCCATCCTCAATCGTCAAATCATTAAGCGATAAGATAATCAGCTCCTCACTCCTACTCTCCACTGGATGGAGCTAAATCTCGAGCAAAAGGGCTTAACCAATTAGAAGCTTAAGACACTCCTCTCTTACTGAAAATCTAACTCCTTGGCTCTAAGAAGGGAGTAATAGAAATCATTTGATTCGATTTTCAAAGATTTTCACCATCCAGTAAGGACGAGGAGCAACTACTTTAAAAAATGCAAGCGCAAGGCGCGAGCACTCACTTGCTCTCTAGTTCATTAGTTCATTAGTTCTAGTTCACTAAGCGGTCACTAATAAGTACTAACTAGCACTATAAGCAGTACTGTTGACAGCTCCAGTCAAGATTCAGCCATTCAATTTTAAATTTATATATTATAGCCTCGGGGATCCTTTTCTTGCATTATGCAATTAAATTAATTGTTAAATTAATTTAAATTAATTAATTTGTTTTATATCACAGTGAAAATGATTTTGTTAACATTTAATTGTGCATCATGTGAAATTTCTGATGAGCATCTCCATTACTCGGCCCTTCATGTTGTAAACCTCCGACTTCGGCCATTGCAATTTTATCAACGCACTTATTTTTATAATCCCAACGAGTTGTGAGTAAATTTGAATAATTTTTATTTTCTGCCTTTTCCATATCTTACTATCTCATAATTTAAAATCTATGTCTGACTAATAATTTTATACAATTAATAATCATTAAATTTTTACTAATTACTATCAATCAATCAATCCTTGTCTCACCTCTCCTCCAGTCTTATTCCATTCTTAGTTCTTTCTAATTCGCCTAGAATCTCTGCAAGGCGGTTCGCGAATAATTTATCTGTTCGTTGAGAATCTCCGCAAGGCAGTTCACGAACAATTCCCTGTTCGTCGAGAATCTCCGCAAGGCGGTTCACGGACAATTCCCCGTTTGTTGAGAATCTCCGCAAGACGGTTCGCGATTGATTCCTTAATTTTCATTTCCTTTTAATTGCCTTTTCTGATTTATTTACTAAGAATTCGTATTGTTTTCTATCTTTATATTTCGTTTGAGCCCTTCTTTATATATATTTAACTTTTCATTTCTATTTTTTCTTTACTCCCTTTCATTTTCTTTTAATTTCCCATTGCTTGCATTATTATTATTATTTTTTCTTTTTTTTCTTCTTTCTTCCCCTTTATATTATTTTCCTTTGTATTATCACTACTTTGGGAGAAATCATTGAAATAGATGAATAATTTTCGAACTTAGACTTGGCGAATCTTTTATCTTAATTTTATTATTGTATTTTAATTTGGACCTGTGTTTCGCCGAATTTGGAAAATTTTAATTCTAATTATAACACATACTCGAGAATATATACTCACGCACACATATTCACTCATGCATAACTGCTAAGATGTATTTTTCTTTCCTTATTTTTTTATATAATATATGTATTTTTTTTATTTGATGTAGAATTTAATTATTTAACCCGTTCTCTTCCCTAAACCCTGAGATCGCACTAAGTCCTATCCCGTAACAAGGATTAAATTCTTTTATCGAAAAGGGACCACCGAACGAATAGGCGTAAAAACGCAGAGTTAAAAAGACCTTCAATCGCTGACCTGTGTCAGGCCCTTCACATTCGTTCGACCCGATCCATACACATGCCCGAATAAAGTGTGTCACGAGATAAGTAAGTTACGTTCTTCCATACAGCCCATCCTTTCAGGGTCTGGACGTAACATACTTAGAAATTTTGGGAGCTCGTCCGGGATTTAGAAGTGCGATCTTGGAAATGGGAAGAAATGTAAAAATCTCGATAAAAAAGGAAATCCTTTTAAAAGACAATTCTTCTTAAGAGTAAATTATATTCAAATTAAATTTAAATTAATTAAACCTAAATTTATATCAGATGGTATTCAAATTTATATGAGATTTATATCTTTGAATGATACACACTATACACATTCCTATACATATACCTATTCCGATAGCAGCTCCTAAATCTACAAACCAAATTTATTTTAGTTTCTGGATATTAAAAACAATTTTTTTTAATTATTATTTATTTTTATTTCATAATGTTAATATATATCCTAGCCAAAGTCTGATGATTTTCTTGATATAATTATTAATCAAAATTAAAAACTATATAAAATTTGTATTAAAGAAGTTTATATTAAATTTGTGTTAAAGAAATAGGAAATAATTCCAAAACAATGTCATATCAAATTCCTTTTGTTACGCTAAAATACGCTGTTGAAGCTGTTCCTTTCTTTGATGGTAATAACATTCCACTAAATTATTTCATCGAAGGATGGGAAGAAGCAAAATCTATGTTACCTGAAGAAGTAGAATCGCAATTTACTAAAATCATAAGAACCAGAATAATCGGAGAAGCTAGACGAACTATACAAGATCAATTTTTTAGTAGCGTATCGCAATTAGCAGCCTATTTAAGACGAATTTACGGTCCTTCGAAAGATGTTTATCAATTGCAAGGAGAATTTACCAAACGTATTTACCAAAAAGATGAAGCAGACGTAATTAGTTATGCTAATAGAATTAAAACTCTTGGAAAATAAATCTTAGAAGCATATCAATATCTAGAAAAAGTTTTGCCTGATGAAAATATTAAAATGTCATTAGACATTAGAAAAGAACATGTGTGAATGTTTTATAAGAGGGTTAAAGCCTAACATAGAACAAAGAATTACCAGAAATAT